CGTACGAACACTACTATACGACACACCAACCAAACCTACTACTACTTAGTACGTAACTACTACTACCACGACACGAGAGACACGAGAGAGAGAGAGAGAGAGAGAGAGAGAGAGTAATGCATGCTTTATGCCAATGCAGGCACTGCATGTATGTGTAGTTCATATCTTGGATATGTCAATTCTTTGTAAATCTGAATATGGCATCTCTTTCTTCCTTCTTAAACTAATTCTTTAGGATTCTCTACTCCAAACCTTGGGGATTGTGTCCAATTAAAACCTACCTCTTGAGGATTCTGATCCACAAAATAAATTTCTAAAAACTATAAACTGCATTACACTTGAAACCTTTCTTATATTTTAAAAAAGTACCTACCAAGAATGAGATGCAGTTCCTCAGAAATCAAGCTGACAGTAAACCCTTCCAAAGTACTCAAGATATTATTATTCCTAGAGAATGACAAAACAAATGAGATCACCCATCCCAACTCTGAAAGAGAACGACTTTGGCCATACTAAAAGGCAAAGCAAGACATAGGATACACAATATAAAGGAACTTAAACGCTAGAATGGCTGATAATAGTATAATGAATAATCCTGCTCATTGGAACATTCAGCTTTAAATGTTCCAACAAATAGAATTAACAGTTCCCTAAGAGTGGATGCCGGCTCTCATCAACGCCTGAATATATCTGAAGTTGGAGTGACAGCCTAATCTTGTAAAACATGAAATGAGGAGTCTTGCATAGAACAGAGAAGTTCCTGAAAATTTCAAAGCTCTGTAGAAGAATATTATTCACAATTCTTCAATACATCTGTCACGTTAGGAAGTTCTTGCATAAAACATACACAAGTTCCTGATGAAGTAACACAGCTACGATGCTTCAATATCACTACATATTGCTTGACAAAAATGATATGATCTCGCCAAAGCAAACTGACTAAAATAAAATCTAATAAATTCAGGAATAAACTTACCTCACCCATTTCGAGTTTTCCTCCTGGCTTTGTTATAATTCTCCCTACCATCTGGCTTAGCATAGCATCATATCCTGGATCTCTTTCCTCAAGAACAGCACCTTCATTTGCACTCCTTGGGGTGATCTCTGAAACAAAATCAAGACATAAGGTACTACATGTCTAGAAGCCGATCCAGTAAAGAACACCTTTTAAGAATTCGTCAAACATTTTCATATCCATTATAACAAAGTTAAAAAACAACAGCAACTTCAAAGAATTCCTAGAATACATGATGTAAATTCAGTTATTAATAAGAATGCAGAGTTTTGTGAATCACCTCAGCAATGTTTTTGGACTCGGCCAAGGAGACTCAGCCTCGGCCTATAGGCAAGGTCGAGTACTATGTACCGAGTTTTTATAAATATTATGTATCACCAGCTTTATTCAAACAGTGTCTAATTGACTTATTGGCTATTATGTACACCTCAGCAGCCTCGCGTCTATGGTTCAAATACCGCCAGACATGATCCCATTTTTCTATTTAAAAATAGACCTATTTTATTTTATTAAAAATAAAAAAAAGCATGATCCCGTCTTATTTTATTAAAAAAATAAGCCTCATTAAGCTTCGATGATTTAATTAAACAATTAAGAGGGGTTCCTTTTTTTTATAAAAAAAAATAAGCACCATTAAACTGAGGTTTGAACATGGGGTTCACAAAATAACGTGCAATGGGCATGGTTCGATACCTCAACTTCTTTTTGACGCCCCACATCATTTTACAAGTATGCTACTTCGGTATGCATGACAAGAATAGATATCTTATTATATATATATACCTTATTTCCTTTTGTTATGCCCTTTTTTTTAACATGACATGGACTCGGCTGAATAACTCGCCTAGGCCTCCGAGTACATTGGCCGAGCTGTGTTTTTGTACACTGCACCTCAAATTCAGGCAAGTGAACCACTAGGAAAATAAGAGGAATGGTAGCACATAAATAATTACCATTCCAAGAATTTTAAATTTAACGAAACAAAAAGAATCTTAAAGCCCTTCACCTTAGCCAGTGTCACATGATCTGACATGCCTACTAAATGAGCATGGAGATGGATGGTGTGGCCACGCACTGAGGCTCTTAAAGGACCACTGAAGTTTTGTCATTTGAATAGGTTGCCCAGATCACGAGGCGTTAAACAAGGTATGATTCAGGGAAAGGAAGACAACTAGTAAAAAAAATGAACCCAGAACAAGCAAAATCTGGAAAAACACAGTGCAAGAAAAGAATCCAGTTCCCCAGAGTCTACTCAACATAAACAAAAGACAACCCTGAGGGTCCCTTTGTACAGAGCTCCCAATTGTGAGGAGCCAATATTTGGTGTACATAGCTCCCAGGCCACGGGCAGCACATTTTTGTAATATTACACTTCAATTAATACAAAGGTTAACATCTTCAAAAAAATATATATACATATGAACTTTCATGCCATTCTCCTCATCGATTGAATCCGGTGTCTCTTGTTTTAGAACGATAACATTTGTTTTACTATAAATTGTTGTTACAAGCTATATCCCTTGAAAAGGGGAGTTGAACAAACAGAAAAAGCAAGAAGTAAAACAGAATGCTCCCATCTAAAACGGGACGCATAAGGAGCCCCGAACTACTCAGGCTCCAGGATTGCAGCTCCCTCTTTGGCCAAGACATCCGCAAGAGAGTTACTCTCTCGCCATACATGATTCCAAGAGACAGAAATCCCCGAGCAAAGCTGGGCTGTTTCTTCAAAAATATGGGCGAGTGTCCACGGGTAGGTGCTCGCCGACGAAGGGTCTCCCTCAGCTATCAGAGAACGGGACCAGCTTTGTCTGAAGATTCTGAACAGCCGAATACCTTCTAGGATGGTGAGTGCTTCTGCTGCTTGCGCATCATCATGGCCGATAGATTTGGAATAGGCGCCTAGAACGTGGCCCTCATTATTCTGGAATAGATTACCAATACCAGGCGGCCCTGGGTTGCCTAGCGAGCACCCATCAAAATTTAGTTTGATTGTCCCAGGGTCAGGAGGGGTCCAGAAGGATAATCGAGCAATCCTGAACTGCAAGAGACAACACAGAGGGAGCCAATCGCACAAGAAGGCCGCAGTTTGGATCCCTGTGAAATACTTATGATTTGCAGCCCAAAAGGAAACCAAGACTCTGATTTTGTCGAAGAGAATATTGGTGGACCTATATTGGCCTTGGAAGTTATTGCGCTCAATCCAGACCTTCCAAATAAGAGCCATGGAGGAAGCTTTCCAAAGAAGAATACCCGATTTTGGCCAGGGGATGGACTGTGGTGTAACCCACTGCCAATGGAACAGCGAGAGAAGACGGCTCCACAGCTCAGCGGCCAGAGGGCAGTGAATAAACAGATGATCATTAGTTTCCTCAGCTTCAAAACACATCATGCATCGATTAGGCAGCTGGATCCCTCTTCTCTGAAGTTGATCGACAGTGATCGCTCTTTGATGGAGGGCCAACCAAATTAAAAAATGGAATTTTGGGGGGCACGAGAGAAAACCAAGCCTTGGCTGCAACAGAAGGGGGTTTAAGGGGAAAGGTTGGGTCCAGGCTGAACTTGCGATAGGAGGAGACCGAAAAAACTCCCGAGGGAGAAGGGCACCAAATAAGCCTGTCACAGCCCGAGGTGGGTAAAAAGGTCGAGTCCAAGAGTGATGACAGGTTAAGGGGATCAGGCAGTTCGTTCTCGGTCTGCTGCGTTCTAAAGGTCGGTGTCCATACACGCCTAGAACCAAGCACTTGGAACACGTTCGCCACTAACTCCTGCCTATTAAGAGGTAGCCGCAGGAGAGAAGGGAAGCAAGATGCACCTAGCCACAGGTCATACCAAAATTTTGTCTGCAGGCCATCGCGCACAACCACACGAGTGTTGGGATCGAAGATGTTGCGAATGCTTTGCAAAGTAGACCAAATGCCTAACATTCTGTTATACAACCTAGGTGGAGGCAACCATGACTCAGGTGGTATGCGGTATTTGTGTTGGAGGACCGACTGCCACAGGTGGTTGGAAAGCATGGCCAGGCGCCACCACCATTTACCCAGGGGGCAGAGTTAATAAGCTTGAGGTTGCGAATGCCAAGCCCTCCTTAGTTTCCTAGGAGAGCACACTTTGTCCCAAGATAACAGATGGAACTTGCGATTGTCACAATCTCCTTCCCACAGAAATCTCGTCATGAGAGAATTAAGGCGATTAAGGACTGTCACCAGCATTCTGAAGAGGGACTGTAAGGGAGGTCGCCTTACCGTCCGGTCCAGTGAAGGCAGTGTAGGCAACGAGCAAAGCCACTGGCTTGTGTAGCTTGGCTACACATCAAAGCACTCACTACTTGAAAAACAGGGATGCTTGTGAGAGTCGCCTTAGTGAGTGTAGTTCTACCAACCGGCAATAGGAAACAGACTTTCCAGGAAGCGAACCTAGGATCTAACTTGTCGATAATGTGATCCCAAGCATTGAGCTTAGGTTTGCCTAAGCAAAGGGGGAGCCCAAGATAAGAGGAGGGAAGGTTGTCAGTTGTGCAGCCAACTGTCGTCCAGAGCTTGAGTGAACAAGGGATTAAGAGCTATCCCGATCATTTTTGACATTCCCAAATTGATCTTGAATCCCGTGGCCCACTCAAAAATCTTAAGGAACCGGTGAAGGACAGAGGTTTCCTGGTGGGACACTCTACAAAGCACCAAGCTATCATCAGCATATTGGAGGTGAGAGATGGAGGGCCCATCTGTCCTGAACTTGAAGCCATTGAGTGCGCCCACATTATAGAACCCCCAATCCACGTGGTCAAATGCTTTGGGCCAGTCAAGTTTCACAATGAGGCCAGGCAACTTAGCAAGGTGCCTAGAATGGATGCACCCATGGGCTACCAACGCTCCATCCAGATTCTGGCGGTCTTTCACAAAAGCCCCATGTTGAGGGGAAATAACCAGGCTAAGCATTTATCAGATTCGAGTAGCCAATACTTTGGCCACAATCTTATAAGCTGTCTCTTGCAACCAGAAAACCTCACCGGAATCCCTCTTCTTCCTCCTCAGAGTACGACCATCCAAATGTAAAATCTCTTCGCGCAATGCCATGGGACAATCCACTTTCCCAATCTGAAAACAAGAAGCAGATATGGTAGAAGTTGACTACTTGGACTCTGACATTACTATAGATTCTGCAAAAGAATAAAGAATTTGTAGAAGGAATGGATCGAGTGGAGGAAATGGTGGGCGCAATGGGTCTATCCTAGAGGAAACAACAGGAGATAATAGTTTGTCTGGTTCGGGTGCGTTCATGGGAACGGGAACTGGTCTGGTTCCCCTGAATCGTGGACTCATGGAAGGTCCTTGTGGTTAGGATCATCATCCACATGATCCTATATCAAGGGAGCTCAATCCTTGCCATAGGGAATCTCGATTCCATGATGTAGGAATTGCAAGGACCTTCCAGCAATCCACGGTTATATACCAACCCAAGAGAAACGCTCCAAAAAAGAGTGAGTAACAACCAGTGTTCAAAACAACGGATCGGGCCGATTAGTCAGTCCTCGCCCTATCCGATTAGTCCGACCGATTTCGACTAGATCTGCCAATTAGTGCCCCGATTTTTTCTTAAAAATCTTATTTTGATAAAAAAATCCCATAATACTCAAAAAATCCCAAAAAAATATCAAAAAAATTGTAAAAAATGTTTAAAATTTACATGTATTGTTGTTTTATATTGTCACATAAAAAAAACAAAAAAAATAACTATTATAAGCATAATTGGCTTTCGGAGAAAATGATTAGGGCACCTGAAGCAATACTTTTTCGGTGATCAATATATAATAAGTATATATTAAAAATATATATAATATGTAATCAATTTATATTATATAATATGAATTATATTAATAAAATAAACATAAGTGTATAATATACAATATAATATGATATAGTATTATAAGATAATTTACTATATCAACTCAAGACCAAGTTTGTTTTTTTGGGTATTTTGGAATTCAATTAAAAATAGGGAAAGTATAGAGTGAGACCATATACCTTTTATACAAGGTGGTCACAATAATCTTGACCATTGGATGTAAAGTTGGGTGGCTGCAATTATTCCA